AATTTAAAAATTTAAAAATTTTTGTAAGATATTATTTTAGAGAGAGAACAATAAAATTTCCCGACTAATTCGCTCTCATAAAGTCAAAGACACCTGTTACTATACATGTATGTTTGTAACCATTCCAACATGAAAACTTTGTTATTAAACACCGTCACCGTTCACCGTCTATTTATTAAATTTATCATAATTTTCCTAGCTGCATGTGAGCCTGTCCCGTTCACAACATAGACAACTCAAGCGCTAATTATTATTTCACTCACACGCGTAACACGATAGCCGATCGGGTCGTTGCGCATAGTTGTTGCTACCAAATGTGGCACTGTAGTGATTGCTTTATTGACGAGTATTTGTTGTGTCCAGCTAACTAACTGTCATTTGCTGGTCATTTCCTTATGGCACATGAAAATGAAAGCGTTTGACGGATAGAAGTGAATGGAGACTGAAGATAACTAAATTCGGCAAACTGGCAAACGAAAGTGAGTTTACGGGAATCCGAAAATTGAGAGTGTTAGAAATTGGATAGCAAATGTGGTCTTGTTATTAGAAACGCACTTTCGTAAGTGGACTTCAAATGTAAAGCATATTTGCAGAACAAATTTAATTAAATTTATTTAAAAAATTAAGTTATTTTAATACATGTTATTATTTTTTATTTACAAAACTCAAAAATAAACCGATTTGAAGTAAAAATAAATTTTGTCAAATATTTTGTATAAGATATTAAGATATGTATGACTATTTATTGAAATTCTATATGTTTTCTAATATTTTTCACCGTTTTTAATGTTAATATCATATAGTTTAAAATATTTCACAGTTGCAGTTATCATTGTCGTTTTAGTAGTGTCGTTTACTCATAGAAAATGTTTAATATATGCAACACTCTACGCAGGTGCGCCTGAAAGTATGCTGCAATTATCAACAACAGCGCTGAGTGCTCTGTTTCGGGTGACAGAAAAGCATACTTTAGCACTAGCCACCACTGTGTGGTGAATGCTGAGCTAAGTTGAATTTAATAGGAAGCGCTATAGTAATTGCTGTAATTAAATTATTATTATTATAATTATTGTAAATTAGAGATAAAACAAAATTCGCTGAAGGAACTAAAGGCTTTACCCCTTGTAGGGATTGCTTTGAAGGTGACAAAATAAATATTGATGAATAATTAAATATTTTGAGTTGTATTTAATATTTCCGGGTACTTATTTGTATGTGTATTTTTTTATTTTTAATAAATATTAGAAATTCACTGTATATGAAAGCCAAATTAACTCTAATTTTTAAACATATTTCGCCTGATATTGAAATCTGGAAAATTCACGTTTTTTGGCCTTCTGTATAGAAGTATAACCCATTAAGCTGCCAATTAAGTCGTGGAATGGCTTTTCGATCTTCCAGTGGCTTAAATTTTAGTGAGAATTATTTTGTTCCTCACTCTTGAATTTTCATCTTTATTCTAAGCCTTTCCTGTTATAGCTTTAGCAAGAAAGATAAGAACAATAGTAGATTTGGCGAAAAAGAAGAGTCAAGGTCGACTCAAACGCATAATTTCACAGAACTTCTATTGTTTACTAAAAGAGGTAACTCAGTTTTCCTTGCGCTGGTGAAAGCAATACTCTTTCATAACTGTAATTCCCTTAAAATGCATTTCTTCACACACACACATATACACATACACATATGTACATACATATGCAAAAGTACATATGTATAATTTTGAAGCTACTACTGCCAACCCACTTGTAATGCGACCCTTCCTCTTAATTGCAACAATAAAAAATGTCTGGGTCTAGCGCTCAGCTTTGTTATGAAATTGCGTCCGCATTGAAGTCACACACTGACGCACAAAGCCAACGGTTAATACTTAATTAAAAGCAAAGTTGATTTCATAGTTGCATTAAGACATTTCTGCAACAAGAATAACAAAAGAACATAAAAACAATACGGTAATCGAGAGAAGAATGCAAGAGAGACATTATTTCTTAATTTGTCACACTTTTGCTTTCAGTCAGAGTGTGGAGTAGGAAAAATGAAGTAAAAATTATGCAACAAAAGAATTGGAGCACAATAAAAACAGTTAGCATCAGCAACAATAGCAACAAAACGAACAATGAAGCGCTTTGTGCGGCATAAATCTGCGCATGCGCAACGGCATATCAAGCACACACACACACATACATGCCGACAGTAAGCGCCCATCGCATTGCCACCCCATGTGACTCTGCAAAAATGTCGTTTGCTACCATAAAGTAGATTTGTTGCTGCATTTTTTACGGTTTTTTTTTATTGTTGTTTGCAACAAGGAAACACTTTTACTGCTGCAGTTGGCTGCTTGGCTGCCATTGTTGCCATTCAGCTTTTCATGGGCGACAACAATGCGTCGTTAGCGGGCGCGATTGAGTGTCTCGTGACACGCGTCACTTGCCGGCGGGACGGAGGGGGAGCGGGGGACTAGCAGACTGGGGGACCGACTTCTGCACTGCTGCTGCCACCCGCATATGAAAGAGTGTTAACATTGCGGACAACAATTCGAATCGGTTACGTAGTTGCCGTTGCCGTTGCCGTTGCCGCCTTTTGTCTGTTACATATTTGTTATTGTTTTGTTTTTCTTTGCATTTTTTCTCGCTGTTATTTATTTATGGCATTTTGTTGTGCCTTACTGCCGCATTTACCGCATTCACACCAGCTGTCAAGCTGGCAACATGGCCTCCTTAGGCATGTAAGGAGGCAAAAACGT